GGGGGGGGGGGGGGGGGGGGGGGGGGGGGGGGGGGGGGGGGGGGGGGGGGGGGGGGGGGGGGGGGGGGGGGTGCGGTCGGCCGGCAGGCTTATCCCTCCTTCGTTCTTCATTCATGTTTGCTGTGCTGCTGTTTTCCTGGACAGGTGCAGACGTACCTGATCTGCGGCTGATAATCGGCAGGTTGTCGCCCACCGGATTCTAACCCGTCTGCTTTGAGCCAATGATTCCGCGGACGATTAATTTTCCTCAGAATAGGTAGAAATCGAGCGGGCCTTGTAGAGCCACGATGATAGCTAATGGTTGTGATTCTGCCCATAAGTGATGACAGTTTGGAACCATGTCTCTTCCGATATTAGACGCTGGTTGTATTGGATCTTGTGTCCCAAAATTTGTCGACATTCAGACAAAATTTGTCGACATTCAGACATTCGCCTTCGGTTTTGGTCTTGACTACATAGTCCACATATCGGGTGCTCAGCTATGTTTCCTTCTCTCCATCGCTCCCTCCCTTCCTTTCTTTCCTCTTCCGGTTGCGGCGTTGTCTGGGCAGGACTCGTGACCCTGGGGTCTCCACATTTCGCGGGCCCGATGGACATGGTGAGTTAGTTCACCGGCCGGATGAACAATCGTGTCTGTATTCCCTCTTACATGCCTGCTGTGGTCAGTCGTGTTTGATCTCTCTGCAGACCCAGCGCCATGCAGTGTACGTTGCATCCAACAATGTGCCACCATCGCCCCGAGAAAAGTGCAGAAAAAAAAAAAGTTGACGCCCCCCACGGCAGCGTTTTATCCACCCATCCTGTCGCCAGTACCTCGGCCAAGATGATACAGGGTGTCACGACCTCCTTGACTAGTCTCCCCGTCATCCCATGCGCGTGACCCCCCCCTCCACCTCCTTACTGAGTAGACAAGGGGAGCGTTGACCTTCACCAGCGACGAATACCCGGGGGCGTTCCTTAAGGACAAGGGCATTTTTTACGTTACCGTGGGCGGGGCGGCGCTCTTGGGGGAGAAGGATGCGCCCCGAAGGAGCAGGGCGAGATTCGCGTATGGGTGAGAGATTTTGCGGTGTGGTTCGCCCCCCAAAGTCGGTGGGAAAGGGAGGTCACCCTCACGCAAGGTTGTGTGCGCGACTGCTGCTATTTTAGCGGGGTAAAATGAAACGCGATGAATTTATAAAGTCCTGTGGTCACCGGTCGAGACAAAGGTGCCGCACAAGCATTCGCACTACCTAATCGTAGCTCCGCACGTTTTTCAGGGAGTTCCACGTGCTTCGGTCACTCGTACTTGTCCCGTTTTGTGAAGCCGTTTGACTGCTCCCTCGGCTGCACGTGTTCCTGCTGTTTTTTTTGTCTGGCGTATTTCAGGAGCTACCAGACCGTATGCGGCGAAGGGGCAACCATGGGTGAGAGCACTATCGGGAGAGGGCCTATCGGGGGCTGTGGGCGTAGAATGATTGTATGGGGTGAAATGCCTTCTAGGTTGCGAATCTGGGTGCGCTTTGGCACAGGAGTGATCTTTGATGCCTGAGATACTAAGGCGACTATCGGGCACAGTGGCGCCTCACACTACCGCTGACACCACTGCTGTAACATCCTCTTTCTTCTCTCTCACCTTTCGAATCTACTGAACAGATGGCCCACGGCTGCTTCCCCAATTGATCTACTTTTTGCTTGGAATGAAGTTTCCTGTTTATATGAGTGAGCAGTCAGGTCTTGTTCCTTTTTGTTGACGCCGAAAAAGTCTGTTGTCTGGGGGAGGCGGTATTTTTTTTTGCCAAAAATTCGCTCTCACCCTTCGAATCCACTCTTGGTGTCGTTGTCCTGGTGCCCAAATGCAGGTGACGCTTGCGTACCCCTCGTGTACACACACCTCGAGGGGGCCGAACAGGTCACGTTGGATGGCGTGTTCCATTCCGTGGACAAGCCAGACGAGTGGTACGGGTCTGAGGGAGTGGTGGATCGCTGGCTTGTCACCGTCGCCCAAGAGCTCCGCCCTTCCGGCAGCAAAGGAGACGGAATGGCGTCGTTCTCGGAAATGTTCTCTGCGCCGTTCGCGAAGCTCTTCAGCTGAGGAAGTAGGATGTTCACTGCTGTATGCATGGGTATGGGAGCGGGGGTGTAGTTGGTCACCCCGCCCGGCCCTGGCACGCTGGGGCGGCCATTTAGCAGCGGGGGTGCAGCCGTCAACTTTGTTTCGAGGTCTTGAGCCGCAAAGCTGCAGGACTTGCGTTACAGAGGTGGAACTTGTGTACGTAACGGGTGTCACGTTGTAGCTGCAGTCCTTCCTTTCTCTGGCATCCTCGTATGCGTTCGACATCCGCTTGTCACGGAGCGTGTGAGGTATGAATATGCGCATCAAGGTTTCCACACACAGATATTTGAGACGTCACCATGAACGTGCGCATGTGGCTGCGGAACCATTCTGACAAAGTTCCGTGATTGCCCCGAGTGACGCGCTACTACAAGTGTTCGCATGTTGCCCTGGAGAGAGTGGAGACCCGACCGCAGTCCTTGACGCGATTGCGGGTCTCAAAACTGCGGCCGGAGCGCCATGGCCTCTGAAAGAGGCCCATGGATGGTGGGCCTCTTCTCTCGGAAAATTCCCCCCAACAACCTTCACCTACAGCAGCCTCTTTCTTTCCTAGTGTGTTTTATCTGGGACTTCGCTTCAGTGCAGTAGCCTCACGAAGCAGTACATGTTTTGAGTTGCCGTGAAATATCGACCTCACCGGGAAAACAGGAGAATCACAGGAAACAAAAACCTTCACCGACCCCGCGTGTTGCGCCTGCGGAAAAGACATACTGCGCGTATTTGGCGGAGATCTGCGTATCACTGGTCTTCGACGTATAACCACAGCATCATCGTGGTCAAGAAGCGAAGTCGGACCTAGCTTCCTCCCACCGCCATGATGGCGACAAAAGGTATACCTACAGAAAAAAACAAGGAGAATACTATCGTCTCCGGAAGCCTCCTTTCCCGGCCGGCTTCTTCATGCCTAACCCGAATTTCACTGTCGTGCGCTTCTCGGCAGGGGCGATGCCCGAACCATCCCCCTGCAGTGCTCCTGGGAGTTTTGGACTGGCAGAGCGAAGGAGGCGATGGAAGGCCGGGCGCGCGGGGGGGTGGTCTTCGATGAAAATCGATTGACGAGCAGGTTGTGGCGGCTGCGTGACACACTATTGTAGACGTCGGGTTATGGCCATCTCACGGTGAACAATGATGCTCTTAAGGGGAAGCCAGCCAGCGTACGCGAACTTGGTGGATCTACCGTAGAGCTAGAACCCGGCAGCACCCCACCTACCAGACAATCAAAGGCCGCCGTAGACATGGGAACCGGCCTCTAACCCATGCGGCAACGCCAGGAGGTATGGGAGCATCAACAAAACGGTCTCGGAGAGAGACATGGTCCTGATCAGGGACGAGGGTGAAAGGTCGTCCCACATCGCCGGTCCTACTTCGCAATCCTTCCTCAAAGGCAGCCGAAAACAGAAGCAACCATGCGAGCCAGTACACACGCTGTCGAAATAGAAACTTACGGTGGTGGCGGTTTCGCGCTGCTTCCTCCTCCCGTGGCCGCTTGCGTGGCCTTCAACCTTCTCTGCATCTCCTCCCACTCCTTCCTTTGCTCCTTGTCGCGGTTGAAAGTCTTGCCCCGTCGAGCCTTTTCTGCCTCCGCCGCCTCTTTGAGTCGCTGCGGCCGCACACCACCAAAGCACCCAATGCCACCACGAACCCAAGGAGAATACGACGTCAGCAAAAACCTGGGTTGGGAGAACGAGCCTTGCGAGCTCGTAGTAACCGTGCCGTACGACAGCGGTAGTGTTTCCAAAGGCTAGCGGACAGGGAGCGGATCGGCGGCGTGAGTGTGTGTGACCATAACAAGAATAGCGAACCCAACTGGTGCTTCGCCGTGACAGGCAACAAATGGTTGCACTCATCGCGTGCACGGGCCCTCATCGTCCGAACAAACTAGAAAGGGCATGGTAAATAACAGATTCACCGACGCTTAGCTGGAACAATTAAGGTTGGCCGGCAGACTCAGCACCATCGCCCCGTCGCCGGCGGCCTCACAGAGTACATAAGTATAATCGTCGGGAACATCCATATCTCAAAGCAGTACATAAGCTGGCAACAGCACCATCCATTTCACCTTGACGTGGTGGTGGTCGTACGAGCTGTAGTGGTTGCTCATTTCCCCGACGTTTTTGTACTGCTTGCCGCAAGTCTCGCAGTAGAACTCCTTGTTCATCTCCTGCAATACACCCGTTTCACACCAACAAGTGGATGTCAGCGGGAGAGAGAAACAAACATCACAAGGTCGACAGCTATGATGTTATCATGTCTGTGTGAAGGGAAATTGGCTCTCGCACGAATTGCTGCTTCATCATTTACTGGGCAGTTGCTAGAGTGGGAATCTGTTGCTAGGAGAGGTGAACAAAGGCCATGCAAATCGCTGTCGATACACGCTGCTGTCTTCCTCGTTCGTTTAACTGTGGGTCGACCCTCAAGCCATCGCCAATACCGGAACAATATTATTTGAACCCTGACACTAAACACCGCCCCACAATACTCTTTCGCACCACACATGTAGTTCTAGTACGAAACGACATTATCATTAACCAATGGCTTTTTTTTCAACAAGAGGGAATGGTTTGTCCAGCGCCTCCACCCATACCGAACAAGCGCGTAGGCTAGTCAAGTTTTCACGTCAGTACAGGCAGAAATAGCTGCGCTTACACTGACCTGCAAGCACCAAGTTACCCTACCGCAGTGTTTTTTCTCATCGCGGACCTTGCCGTCAGGGTCCTCGGCATGGAGTGGTCACATCAGAACTGTCGGTCCCGCTGCCTCCAACGCAGTACCCCATCACGTAGTAGGACAGCATTAATGCATGTTGGCCCATGTCTCCTCCATCGAATGACGCAGCAGACGCTGCTGTCGCCCGTGGCACGGGAAGGGTGACATGGGCGCGTCTATTCGAGTCTTGTGGTTTCTCACCTGCACTTGCTCCTTAATAGTCTCCTGCCTTACTGCCTTCTCGAGCCTCTTCGCCTTCATGTCCGCTGTCTCCACCACCTCTGAGTCGAGTTTCTTGCGCTCCCTCGCAGCCTCGTCCGTGTACCTGGGGTACCGCCGCAGCGTACGATTGGCGACAAAGGCACCAAACATGTCGGTCCATACAATGCGTGGTCGTGCGCGTGCAGTCCCGACACGCACGCCCAAGGAGAGGACAAGTCGCAAGATAGTCTGCACGAGGTCTGCCTGAAAGGGCCCATGCCGTAGCTCAACAGCCCTGACAAGACGCTGCACACGTTGCACCGAGCACGCCCCGAAACTAAAAACACGATTTCTGCACCCTGCCTCCTCCGCCACTGGGACACGCATCTTCGCATTCACGCCTAAGGGAGTTGTCGGCGCTAACGCCAGCCACCGCCCGCTCTCCGAGGCAGACCGTCCTTCACCACCAGGGTCGTGTTCTTCGCCCGGCTTGATCCACGAGGTCACACGAAGCGCCACAAGCTGATATACAGGCACCATTCAAGCTCTCCCCGAAAGCAACGCCTTCGATGCACTACCATTTGCTGCTTGCCACAACTAGATTTCACCAGAGAACCCCACACAGCAGCACGTACTACACCAACCCGATGTCTCGTGTGCATGCATGTTGCACAGACACAAAACAACACGATCCCGTACCCCAAAAATATGGCCCCAACATCTAAATATTTTCGTTTTCAAGAAACCTCAAGCTTCCACGAGGACCCAACCCTCCCGCTCGAGCCACTCCTCTTGGCAACCCTTCTCAGTAACGACAGCAATCTACTAAATCACCTGTCGTCCTCCGCAGACTTCCCCAATCCCAGCGTTGCCACTTGAGTGCCCAGGACCACCGGTACGGTGATCCCGTCCCCCTTTGCCCCCAAGCCCTGCCCCAGCTTCCACCCCATCTTGGTGAGTAACTTGAACCCCCGGTTTTCCTCGCCGATCGGCTATTTTCGATTGCGAATCCAAAAGAGCCACCAGACGTCAATGGGAAAGGAAAACAACGTTTCAAGGGAAGCGTAGAACTTGAGGATCGAAAACTCCAAATGCAACTATAGCGCCAATCCGCTACGCCCTGTCAAGAACCTGAAAATCTAGACAAACTAGATCGGCTGTTGGTACTCGGCAGAGGAAATAACATCCCGGTCTGGGTTGAGCAAACCACCATGTAACGTGCTGTGGCGCTTCGTTTCCGACAAGATGAGGAAATCTGGATACACAATACCGTTGCCTTTCAGTATGGGCAGCAAACAAACCCTTACATAGCGCCGGAAATTCGTCTTCTCAACAGCTAAAATCTCCTACAGCACGTTTTCAAAGTCAAGAAATCTCCCTCACATGTCTGCAAGCACGGGAAACCCTGCTGGCCCTACCCATCCTCACTCCTTTCGTTGTCCAACCTGGCATCTAGAGGTGGATGTACTGCCGATGAATCGGTCCGCAAATGATGCAACGCCTTGCGACATGGTTCGGAATACGTCGTTCTGTGCGTCGCGTGCCCAGACACTATAGGATGGTACGGCGGTGTGTACGGGCCCGGAAAGCTAAAGATGCGCGCAACATCTACCGAGACTGAAAGAAGCTCCGTGAACCTCAAAAACACCGCGTCATACCCAAACCTCGACCAAATCATCTTGCCTTGTCCAAGCTGGCGGCGTCCAGGGATTCCGTGTCGATGTACCCCTGCGTTTCGTTCCGCTTGAACAGGCGTGTCTTGCGACCGGCCTTGTCCTCCTCGTCGATGTCATCGAAGTTCGTGATCGTTCGAGACAACGCTGAAGACTCTGTCCCCTTGGCTAGCATGCCGTCCTATTCGTTGAAACCCCCGATCAATCACACCCGGCGCGCACGTGGGACAGTAAAGATGGCGGGAAACCGAAGCCATTGGTGAAACAACCGCAGGGGAACACTGCTGTAACAGCGGCGTGAACGACGGCAATGAGCATGGCTGAATACAGACCACAACGACCAAGCCCTAGAAAACCCCCCATCAATGTCGAGCTGTAATATGAAACTCGCGAGAGGAGGATCTAGCGCCACAATGCTGTATGAGAAGTAAAAGTGTCAGCTGTCGACGCTTCTTGTAGTGTTGACCACCTCCAGCCGCGCCTCGACACTAGGAATCCCAAGGAGTAAGACGGGCTTTCGATGTGCTGCCGCAAACACAGGGGTACGGCCTGGCTGAAAGCTTTCGCCTGGCTCGGCCTCGTCTTAAGAAAAAGAGAGCCACCAACGCCTCTCCCGGCTTACCCGATGTCGCTCCTGCGCCGTCTTGAGTTCCTCCGGTTTCTCGAAGGTGGAAACGCCAGTCTCGCTGTGGTGTGTGGGAAACGGTACACGAAAAGGGTTGGCATGCTACAAGAAACGGCTACACCCGCGGAAGCAACCCTTCTGCCATCACCAGGAAGGAGTGCGTTCATCGTCCGGGTATCCTCGGCGACATACAAAATGTCCCGGATATGAGGTGTGAGAAGGCGATGAACTATGTTCCCAAAGAACACATGTTACACGCGCATCCTGTACATTACAGGGGATCTCCGTCTGGGGCCTGGGTGTGACATGACCCATTGCCTCGAGATAACGTACTCTGAAGTGATCCGGGGCCGTCTTACGTCAAGTGGCACCCGACATGCCAACCAGGTTGTCAAGGGCGTGATTGCCAACCCCCAAGAACTCTCGAGGCAGTTACACAGTGATAACAATTGTCTCAGGAAGTGAAAGCACCAGAGCATAAATTAAGTCATACGCAGCTGTCATCCGTACGCAAGAAAGTAAGCACAAGATGCCGAACACCCTTAGGATGCAGCGCACCCTTCATGCGACTCGCCGAATATCTCACGGCGCTTCGCGCTTGGTGATGTGAGAGCCTGGTCCGGTGAGAACCCGGCGTGCTCCGTCCC